ACTGGAGATTCTTTATATTCACTCTTAAGTAACTAACAGGCCGTGTCCAAGGAAAAAGCATCATTATGTAATATTTTTTTGCTGTTTTAGTGTTTTGCGTTGTTCTTTAGGGTCATGAAAGTAATACGGAGCATAGGGACAAAGTTTAGCTTTTTTCACCTCCTCACAGTCATATCTGTCTTTGCCTTAAAAGAGCCGGCAAACAATCTGACAAATGACCTCATCAAACTAATCAGCAGAGTCTTTTCCTATATCTTTTTAACTTACCCAAGAAAATAAACACATGATTCATGACTGAATTCTATATGTCGATAAAATTAGCCTATAGCTGTGTACAAAAACATCGAAGTGTTTACAACATGCACGCTCACATAAAGGCCCGACAGAAAGCTCTGTAAGGGTCAGGCCTCAATTTCATGACTCCGCATGTCAATAACACACAGTTAATTTGTTTAGCCGGTTGGAGTGCAATCTGTGCTCGTCTGCAAATCCCACGTCACTGATGAAGTAACCTTCGTCATCAGACTCTCTGCTCAATCTCAACAAATTCAATTATTTGAATACTTGAGGCAGAAACACGGAGAAGCCGCGAGGAGACATTTCACCGCAAAATCCCTGAGCTTGCAGAAGCGTTGAGAGTTAGAGTTTTATCTCAGTTTTCCAAATATGTTGCTCGTGAGAGAGTTATAGGTTGACTTGCTCTGTGGGGACATTGTTGGGTTTGTTTCAGGTCACGGTTTATGTATTCATGTATTCATTTATGTGTTCAACATTTCATTTTCTGCCGCACTTTAGAACACATTTCTGGAAATACGTTTACAGCAGAATTGCAAATCTGACATGTTTTTGTACAGCAGCTGCAGTTTTTGTTCTTTAACTGCAGAGCGGGCAGTTGAAGGAAGATTTTGATGAAAAGTCTCTGTTGGCTTGAGAAAATCAGGGACCGTGTCTGGTAACTACCGAGCAGAAGGTAAATAATTGCTTTTTTTTGGCTCCCCTGGAACATTGGGTCCCATACCTTTACTTTCAACACTCGCACTTTCTACTGCCCTGAGTTTTCCCTTCTTTCTTTCTTTTTTTTTTTTTTTACCTGAGCCAATTTTCACTCAACCTCTGTCATCGGTGTCCTTTTAAAACCAGGCAGCACAGAGAATGGAGGGAACAATCGGCTGATTCATCTGCCTTTGTGTCACACTGGCGGGCCCCTCCATAACTCTCTCTTTCTGTTTTGGCCCTTTCTTCTGTCCGTCTCCCTGGGCTCCACAGCCATCCCAGCTTCCCCTTGCCCACCCAAAACGCTGTCCCCTCTCCCTCTGACTGCCGGTGCTCAACACGGCCCATCCTCAATGGCTCCTCTGTACGACCCCTTCTGTCGCCCCTCCTCTCTTTCTCTCTCTGCTAAACAGGATAATCAGAGCCCGAGCTTCTGATCAGCCGCACTTCATAATACAGGAACGTACAAGCCTTAATCAGCGCGCATTACATTGCGTAACGCTGTGTCGGATCATTGGAGTCACCTGCTGCTGCTGATATTGTAATGGGGGCAGGATCTGACATGTGATTTAAGTCTGGGTTTGGGTCAGAACACTTTGAAGTCTGAGTGACTGAATGCCTGTTACATTTCATCAAAAAATCTTCCAGAAATCATTTGGAACTCAAATATTAAGAAATACTTTAAAAAAAACTTAAAAAGAGAGACAACCAGACATATCTTCTTCCACTTTAAACCTCTCCAGACTTACAAACCTTCGCAAGGAGGGCATCGTTTCCACATTGTGGCACATTGTCCATTTTAAATGTAAATAAAGGAATACAAACTGTACAGTTAGGAAAGGACCCACTCAAAACTAAAAATAATCTTCCTCAAATCATAGCCTGAGAGCTTTCAGTTATGAAATGTGTGGGTCATCCCACACATTTTTTGCCTCAGATTCCCAACTATGTGCACAGAAAACACAGCAACAAAGGTGATTCAATAATACGCCCCTTCTGATTTTATTTTATTTAATATTTCATAGCGGATCTCACCCTCCAATTAAACGGCAGCCATTCTAATATTGTTTCAATTACCGTTCATTTCGGCAGACATCTTTGCCAAACACAAATCGTGTTTTATGAGTCCGTGAAATCTCCAGGTCACTCAGTCAGACTCAAGGGTCACGTTCTCAGCTTTAAATGTGCCCAAGTGCACAGTCAGCGTAAAAGGTACGGCACAGTCATTAGTCATGCACCATTACCTCCAAACTACTATTCAGCTGCCATATAATTACAGTTTATTGCAAAAATATTTAAACTACTTAAAGTGTCGAAGAGAGACGTTTTAAAGGTATTTCTTTTAAGGTTAAGCATCCATATTTTTAGAAATGACTTGTGTTCATTGACAATGGTTCTCAGGACCGTAATTGGATAACATTCATTATTTTTTCAGGCTTTTTATACCCAATTAAGAGGTAAATCAATAAGGCCGGTTATGAGATGTTTTACCAATATGAAACATACTCGTACTTTATGTTGTTTTTGTACCATTATCCAATAAATCCAGTATTTGCTTTATATACTAAACAAGGTATAAACTTCACAGAAGTTTTCTGTAGTTGTTTTGGATTTTCCACAAAGGTCACAAAATATCTGACAGTGGTGGGAAAAAGAGAAATATTTCTAGGCTTAGAGGGAAAGATCTTGAAATAATCTACTCATATTCTGAACTTAAAGGGACTTTGATAGAATTTGTGAGGCTGAGGAGACAAAGAGGGGGCATGAGGAAGGCGTGTCACACTGGTGGAGAGAGACATTTCTAAAATTCCTCGGTGGAGTGAGGAGTATATTTATCGGCAGAGTATCAAGCAAGATGGCTCCAACTGCATCGGCCAAACACGCACTGTCACCATCCAAACACTCTCTTCCCACATCCGGGCCCCAAATTACATAACATACGTCTGTACTAGAATACATCGTGTCATCCCAAAGCATCTGTTTTAGAAGTCACACTATAGTACACATTCAATACAGAATGGAACTTCATCTGAAGGCAAAAAAATGAAGCTGACACATTTCGATTGTCTTGCTTGATCGTTGCATGGCCCATCTGACGGTGGCCTCACACGCTGTTTACTGTCGGTTGAGACGGTTGAGAAAAAAAAATCCTTTAGGAGATGTTTTTCTCTCATCTGTTCACTGGTTCAGTCTCTAAATAGCTGGTCAGTGTAATCTTTACCAGACCAGATTTACCTTTCTAATTCAAAATGGAGGATAAACAAAGGAAGTGGATACCAAGCCACTGTCAATATTGGAAAAAAAAAAGGCCAACAACAAAAAAATGAGCACACTACCGAGCACAAAAGCGTGGCAGAATATTTTATTACCACAATTGAATGACTATTTCTTTGTTTTGAGGATAGTAAAAAAAAACAACACTTTTTTTCAAATAAAAGATCACAAGGACGGAAAGATTTCTGTGATCATGAAGCTGTGATTTGCACCTTTCTTTAAGTTAGTGTGAGATTGTAAAATTGGATCATGTTGAAATAATTACTTTCACTCAATTTAGGAAAGAACATCTGTGCTATAAATGTAAAATCCTCTGAAGTTTGATGTGTTTAAACAACATAATTTTATCCAATCTCTTTCTGAAATCCCAGCGCATTGGTAGCCAATCACCTGTTTTCACTCGTGCGGCCAAACAAGATGACAATTCAGTCACGGTGATCAACATCCCGCTGCACAGGGAAAAATACCGGCTTAATATAGGTCTGAAACTACCGTTTGTATCACCTGCTACAGCTGCCCTCAAAATGTGGACTCTGAGAAAGAAACAAGAATGTATTCAAATCTTTGTAAACCTTGAGTTTCTGTACTTTTTAACTTCTTGCTCAGCTTCACTCACATCTGGCAGGACCTTTCAGGAGAAGACGCAGGCGACGAAACGTGACCCTGCTGACCCGTGGTCCATAAAGAAAAAAGTAAATATATCTGATAACTCGCATCAGTTGTAAATAGAGCAGGTGGCAAAACATACACAGGCATTTTAGGACACTCTCCTAATGTCCGTGCTCAAAATATGTGCTGTGCTATTTAAACAGAGGTCAGGGAACAGAGGCAGCAGAGGCTCAGAGCAATCCCAGTCGGCATGCCAAGCCTATCAAATAAAAGTTGTTTGTGCATTTAAACTGTGGCTGAAATATGCCTCACTTACAGGTTATAACATTAGTTTTCTGTGAGAGTGAAGTGGTAACCTTCAGGGACAAATATTTGATCTAATTTGGAGGTAGAGATTAAACAACTGGTGGGTAATTGATTATGTAGACAGGTGGTTAGTCAGCAACTATTCTCTAAAGTGATTCTCCTTTTACCTCTCAGTCCTGATTAAAGTAAAAACACACAACACACCCTCAAACGTGAGGATCAGCTGGTCTCTTCTTTTTGATTGGAAACTAAATTTGATTGTAAACAAAAATTTGACTGTAATGTTTAGATTTTAGGTTTAGGTTTTTTTCATTCACATATTCTCCATAAATTTCTAGGACTCCTACAAAAAAGAAAAAAAAACTATATTTTTTCTGCTTCACAAAAGGGCTTAAGTCATTAGATTTTAATTTGAATCAAACACCATGTCTGTGGAGAACAATTCTAACGACCCGGTCCAAAGCTGTACCCAAAGTGCCCAAACACAGAGAGGAGTTTCTGCATGGTCCTCCATGACGTCGCTGAGTAACACACCGAGTCCCTGCGTCCCGCCTGGTCGTAAATCTGGACCCGGCCGAGGTGCTGGCGTTTTATTACTGCGGGACTGCAGACACCTCGACCCATTACTCAGCAAAAGCAGAGCCTGTGCGCTGCAGCACATCCCTGATGCGCACACGGGCACCGTGCGCTCCGGAGGGGTGGGGTGAGTGAGTGGAGGAGGGGGGGGGGGGGGGTGTGACAAGTATGTTTGCAAACACAGAGGTAGACATAGAAACAACATCAGAAAATTAAAGCAGGGGGCTGAAAACTAGCCGTACCTTGCTGTCCGGGACGCCTCCTCCCTGCTGGACCACCTCCACCTCCGCGCTCACGTCCCCGGCTGAGGCTGAGGCTGAGGCTGAAGCATCCCCCTGACTCTTCCCGTCCCGCTGCGCTGAGCTCTGTGCTCCCATGGCCGTCCGTCTCCGGAGAAGGATGAACTCTCCTCGTCTTTGGTCACGTTCGCCTCTAAATAATCACCGGGCGCCAATTATTGCGCCGCCGCGATGCGTTGCGTGAGCGAGAGCCCAAAAAAAAAAAGCGTCCGGACCGCGAGCGTTGAGGTGTATAGCTCCGCCCCGGGGTGGCCTGAAGTGTGAGGACCACCACGCAGCTTCAGGACACGAGCACCCCCCCCCCACACCTCCTCCTCCCGCATCTCTGCTCTGTGGCTGTGGGGGCTCCACTCCGCTGCATCACAGATGGGACTGATGGGGAGGGGGGGGGGGGATAAACAGAACAGGAAGCGAGTTAATGAATGACAAAGATTTCTCTGCACGAGACGTCTGCAGCATAAATTTGATATAGCAAATGACAGCAGCAAATGGAATTAAAGCAGAAAGATACATCTGTGGGGACAAGGGAAGCGATGAACTCACGGAAACGCACAACAGCGTGGCATTGTCACATGTCACAAAGTGAGACACCGATCTGTCTGTTGGTTAATGAATTCGGAGAACTTCTGAGTCCTCATGCAGATTAGTTAAGAAGCCATTTGTTAAGAGCGCATTTTGTGGCAGATCTGTATCACAGAGAGACAGAGACTCATTATTCTTCTTTCCTTTGCCCATGACTGCCCTGGGTTTCCTCTCGTTGGTCTACTTATTCTCATGCTGAAATGTACGTGTAAAATCCCATTATTTTGCTTGTCCTGTGATGGATTACTGATCTGTCCAGGGTGCCCTCTGCTTCTCAGCCATTGTGAGAGCTGGAACAGGCTTAGGCCTCACCGTGGCCCTTGTAGGATTACGCGCTACAGACGATGGGTGGATGGATGAATACATGGATATATGGCTGGTAAACAGATTAAAGTCATCTACTTTTCAATCCCTGTTGTGCTATCCTAGTGTTAAACATCATACACAGGGGAGGATTTAGCCTCCTTGTTTATCTCCAGCGTGGTTCACTGCGCTGATGGTGTGTGTGGGTGTAGGGCAGCTCTGGCTCGCTGATGTTCAGGTTTAAATGTTAATTGCAGGTTAAACCCTGTGCCACTTTGCTTGGAATTTTAGAAAGCACAAATTACAGCCCGAGCACCCAAAACCAAGTTTGCACAGGCCCCGTCTAGGGGTCCCAGCAGCAAAACCAAAACCCAAAACGGCCAGGGAAGCAACACAAACAGACTCCTTCTTTTTAGGAAGTTAACAGCCATTTAAATAGTGAAGAGGACTACAGTAGCAACTAAAGCTGAAAGTCACAACAGATGGTGGTTTTATTACAAATTTACTAAGCTGTTGATTTTTTTTTCTTCCTTTTTAGGGTCATTCAGACTCCATACATCCCAGATTTTTTCATAAGTTTTGACATCACCTCACTCTCAGTCTCAGAAGATCGGCATGGCTTCTGGGTCCTGCTGCTGATGTCTTCATGTCAGATACGATGCTTTCAGAGCTCTTGGAGAGCATTTCAATTACAAACAGGTGGTATCAATGTGCCTGACTTTTAAAACCTAGTGAGGCTGTTTAGACTAAGGCCTTTTTGCTGTGCCCTCACTGCGGTATGTGTGCATATGGGTAAGTTAGATGTACTTTTTTGTGTTGGTAAAATCTAATTGACGGCGTGACTTAATAAAAGCAACATGTAGAACCCCTCATTTGTAAATGAAGGAATAAGTAAAGTCATAAGCTTCTTCCTGTGGTTTCCTTAAGTCCATGTCCAAAGCAGCTCATGTGCCACTGAGGCCCTTTGTGTGTCTGCAGTGTTGACAATATTTGTGACGCTCGCACACAGAGATCTAATTTTAAGTGTGTCAATTCAGTCCATTCACAGGGAACATTTACACATGATGAGCTGGAAGTCCTGAGTCACTGTATAGCAGATGAAAAGACCCCTGTACTCCATACATATTTCATTACAATCTACTGATAAATCTTATTTACGCTCAAAATGACATTACAAACTGTACATGAGCACTAACATGGTGTGTGGTTGTTATAAGATGATCTTAAAATCTGATGATAACCAGAGGAATGTTTTGTTACATTATGTAAAGCCTCACATTACATGTAAATTCAACCCATTACATAAAACATTAGAGGAAAAAAATTGTTTTTCACACAACTTACCAATCCTGTCAGATCCCCTCCAGTTTACCGCTCACATCAGTAGCCCCTCTAAATGTCCAGGATGAGCAACAGCTCTGACCCCACTAATGACTTCGTACAGTACTTGAACTCGGAAAGAGTTTGAAAAAAGACCTAGCAGCCCCGGCGGTTTTGCATTAATCTGCGCTGCCTCTGAGGACTGTGGTTTCACGTCTCTCTGAGATGAACGGGTTTAACTAATGGACAAGAAAAATGCTCAAAATGGGAAAGCTTGTTTTTTATTTTATTTGGGAAAACCACATCTCAGTGGATAACCAATTCACTCAGAATAAGGGCTGTTGTTGCTTTAAAATGAATGATTAATTCAAATAGATTTGGAATATGAGCAAACTTAGCCTGTAAACTTCATTATGAAAGGCCACAGCTGATAAGGGTAAACGTATTAGTTGATGACCTTCTGCACAACAGGCTTATCAGTGATAATGGTGATGTCACCTGGAAGGAGGGGCAATTAAAGTGAAAGCCTAACTGGATCTACCACGGTCTTCAGTTCAATAAAGTGGAGATGTAAAGATGCGTGAAAAGGACCACCTCTCAAAGCTTTTTTTTTTTTTTTTTTGCTGATCAAACTGTAGTAAGATACATTGATCAGATTTGTTTTATGACAAAGAACATACATAGAGGAAATTAAAGGCTCCACTTTATAAGCGATGAGCTGCTCACTAACTAACACCAACGGACTTGAAGAGGATAAACACCTTTGTTTCTGTAAGGCATTCGCATAATGCTTCTAACTGTAAGGGCTTTAAATATGAAAAAGGCAATAATGAAACGGTAGGAAAAGTGTTTTGAGAGAGACACAAATTGAAGAATTTGACCCAGGGGGGGATATCCAAGAGCTCGTCCAGGAGCCTTTTCACTGAGAGGACACAATTTGCATGTAGACGATGGGACTATAGCAGACATAATGGAAAACAGATGTGGGTGGAAGTTGTTGGTGGAGCATAAGTGAGAAAGAGCATTTCTGAAATGCTGAACTGTGATATTGGATATAGTGTTCTTAAGTGAGACTTGTCAGTTAAGTGGTTATTTGTGAACTACTGCTGAGATCTTCCAGCGTGCGTGTCATGATAACGTAACATTCTATCTGATTTGAGGCCATGGAAGTAGTGCGTGCGGGAGGAGCTGCTTCTGTCGAAGGATCAGTCATTACTCAGACATTCATGGGACCTGTCCTTGGTACTGAAAAAGCTCCTCTAATAAAATACAAGCTCTAAAAATCTCCACAAACAACTCTAACCTGAGAAACCAGGGATTTTGTTGCTCAATCCAAACCAATGACGACGTGTTTTCTTCATCAACACATCCTCAATCTGTCATCACACACGGTAAATATACAGTTGGCGCTCTACTGTAACAGCATTCCTGTAGTTTTAAGTGTCAGATCATGGCTAGTAAACACAGAGGTAGCTTGTGTGGAATGCCAGCTATGGCAGACACACACATGTGCACACTTGTAGACTGGGTCCATGTTAAACCAAAACACCTCCTAATGACAGATGCTGAACCTCGGAGTGATTCAGAGGGGGAGGTCCAAAGATTAAGTTGTGAAAGAGTTGTGAGGGAGGGAGGTTGGTTTGAATTATGAGACTAGAAGCGAACGCAAATGTACAACAGAAGATTATGCCTGAACTAAACGTTGACCCGTGAGCAGGAAAGATACAAGGACATGTCTCTGGAGTTAATAAAATGTTTATTTGAAAGGCACTTGATCCACATGTTTTAACATACAGCTGTTATTGTTAAGAACATTTTAGCTTTAAGTCTCATATTCAGATGACAATTAGAGGAATGAAACAAAGTGTTTGAATTGCATTCAGACAGAAACAGAGTCATTTCTGTCAGTAATTTGACCCACTGGATACTACACGATCACATCAAGAAGTATAACAGTTAACATGAAAATAATACTAACAAATTAAACAATAATGTCAAATTGACTGAAATACCTTGGAGTGATTTTCAGTGAAGGTTTTTCAGCTTTCACATTTAGTAGTATTGAACAGATCATGAGCACCTTAACGGCTTTTTGTGCGTAGAGAAGCAGCTTAGTTAATAAACACGCAACATGTACCCATTTCACTTAAAAGGTTTGAAATAAAAATGTCATCACCATTCTAAGACATTTGAGTTTTTTTTTTAAAACAATAACAGGACAGCCAGTGACCTGAGAGGTCTGTGAAAGCAAAGCAGACCTCAGGGAGAGCTGTAACTCTTCCATACACAGGAAAACAAGCTTCAGAGCTGACAAGCGCACACATATACGCACTGCATCTGCTATGTGGCTGTTAGTCTTTGGTATATCACACAGATGTGCAAACACAGCATGAAGCTCAGAAAAAAATAGTTTTTTTTTTTCATGATAGATTACTTAACTAAAAAACAGTGTTCTCAGAGGGTTAAGTTTGATTTCTTCTGGCTGACCCTCAAAGCAGTCTTTTGGAGGTGTTTAGGTGAAAACATTGTACAGAGGAGGGCTATGAAGGCCCTGTGTTCTGTTTGACTGTGGGTTTCTTTTAGCACCAAAAATTAAATAAATAATTAAATACATTATAAAATATCGCACACACAACGCTCCTGACACAGTTTAAGATTCAGGGTAGCTGTGATGTCTAGCTGCTGGGTAAAGTAACATATCGCATCTGGACAATAATGCATTAAATTTGGTCACGCCTTGCAAAAAAAAACTGAACATTTTTATTGAGGCAAGCTCAGATAAAATTGTAGCCTTACCAACTATGATAGTGAAACTATGAGCTAATAAACTGCAAGACTCCAGACAGAAAAAAATCATTTTGATTAAAAAAAACATGTAAAAAAAAAAATGGAGGAGTTAATGTGACTACTTGAAAAACACTGATAATACTATGCCAGCTCCATTAGACATCTGTGAACAGAGAGTAAAGAAATGACATACTGATGGGATGAGAGGGCTCAGAAGAGCCCGGTGATCTCTTCTGTGAAAGGGTCGAGATCTATGTCATAGAAACAAGGTCTTGTGGGCAGGCCAGGCATTGTGCTCATCTAAGGGGGAACACAGAAATCAGGTACTTTAGAATTTAAGCCTTAACCATAATACAGTTCATATATGAAAAGACATCATTAGGTACATGTGACTATGAACACAAATGTAAAAAAACGTGTCATTCCTTTGTCCATCATTAAAAAACCATCTTTTTAAATAAATCGACTGTTTCTCCGTTTCTTATCTTTCAATCAAGATGTCAAAACTGCAGAATTTCTAAATGACAACATGGGAATCGGGTAGAATAAGAAGCAGGATAAGAAAAAAAAAAAAAAAACTTCAACAGTCTTTCATTTTGTCTCATAAATCTGTCAGTCACCACAAACTCAAATTAGAAGGTAAGATTACAATCTATATTATACTCAAAACCCACTATTAAACCCTTCCCCACAACACAGCTGCTCCTCACCGAAAGATAAACCACAAAATTTAGCATCAGAGCTAATTTAGAGTAAGATTAGCCCCACACAGATCCAACAACTATAATCTAAACTCATTTAACTCTCTGTCTGTAGTGATGAATTTAGACCGCAAAAATGAGAGCCCTGTTCTCACCGTCCACAAATGGCTGCCCTCCTGGAATACAGGGCAAAGCTGGACATAACTGGAAACCTAGTTGTAAATCGGCTTTTGTCAATTTTTGGGCTGACCTCTCAAAATCCATCTGTCGGTCGGTACATCAGAAACTCAGAAGAACATTTCCCCTTTTGTGGCACACTGTTTGGCCACAAACTCTGCGCCAAACCCTTACCCTAACAATGTACTTCACCTTATTTCTGACTTAAGTAAAGTGAGGTGCTTATTCATAACATCCAGAAATATTTGAAGCCATGGAGCAACTTCTCCCCTAATCTGATTCATGTCAACAGCAGGCCAGCTTGTCCTCTTGCTCCAACAGGCCAACCCCTGTGGAAGAACTCTGTGCAACTGCAATGAGCCTGATTCAATAACGGGGATTAAAGTAGTGGAACTCGCAGTGGAAACTCTCCCAAATGAGATTTGTGACATCACCAGGTGTGAGCATGTGAATGGAAGCAAACGAGATGTTGATATCACGTGCCTGGGAGCGACTACACAAAGCAGACTCTGTCCGAGCTGGGAGTCTGCGATATCAAAGGCAAGCGGGCGACTCTTAAAACACCAGTCAGTTCATCCCGTCCGTGATCAACAGCAAATCATCGCGCTCATTAAAAAGGCACGGACATTCTTGGCATGCCACCCTTCTTCTGACCCAGGGGCAGTTTTATGGGGCCCATTAGTGCAAATGAGACAAAAGGAAGTGAGCAGGCAGTTTCCTGTATGAGGAAGTGCGGCTCTGTAAGAACACCAGAAGGACAAAACAGGGTGGACGTGCTGATACACACCGACGGGCCGGATGCAAAGAGCCTCCTCTCTCTGTTCAGCACCAGTACAACAGCAGGCTGAGAAAGGACAACTTTAAGAGGTTTTTACATATGTAACAACTGGTCCATTTAGACACCTGTTACAAAGAAAAGCCCTTTACGTATCAACTGTTTGGATCATAAAAAGGTACTGAAACGTGAAGTATAAGTGATCAAAGTTTTCCTAGTGACAAAAGATGTTCTGTTCAGCCAGTGCCTCTTTTCAAGCCTCAGAGCAAGTTGGCACTTGCAAAAACACAAAACACTCCGTGGCTAAAGTTGGAAACCCCAAATAAGTCCCTTCATTATCCTCACACACAATGCGTCTTTGTTGGGGAAACCCCTCGGGGAGACAATGTAGCTGCATTTTTACCCACAGGAATATGGAGAGGAGTCTCGAGAAATGGCTACACAGATTCTAGAGAGGCAAACTTCATATTATCAAAGCAAGTTCCCTTCATTCATAATCTCATGTGGTGGAACACTCCATTTCTGTGCATCACTTTTTTTCCTGAAACAGATTAAGACATCAACTGGATTTAGTTTTCTTTGCTCCAGTTGAATTTTTCATAAGCATTGTCTTGGGGGGGCATGAAGAACATCCCACCAAAATGTGTACGTGTATATAACCCAGCTACTTTGAGTTAAGTCAAGCAATGTAAGCAGCTCTGAAGGAACATGAATTCTACAGAGATCCATTGTTTTGCTAGCTACCCCTCCCTCACATATCTGAAGAATGACATCAGCCCCTTCCTGACTCCAAACCTTGTAAAGACCCCTGACGTTCCCCCTTTATTTAAAGCCCCCTTCCTTTAATGCACCGAGGGAGATCTCTCTGGCTCTTTAAATTAAATTAGAGCTTAGATGTATTGCCAGTGTACTGAATAAAGGAAATAGCAAATATACCATTTTAAGTGAGGGGTTGGAAAAGAAGCTGGACAGAAGAATGGCCAGAATTGCTAAACTTTCTAATGGAAGGTTTCTTATTCTACTGGAGCAGATGCCAACACAGAAACCAAGTTGTGCTGAAACCCCCTAATAACATTGAACTCTGAATTAAGTCTATGGGTCACCCTGTTGAGACATCAGCTCGGCAAGAGAGTTCAAATAAAAATTTAAAGGCTCCCTTTGGATGAGAAGTCACAGTTCAAGGGTTGTCACTGTTCAAGGGGCTCCACGAGCAACGGCAGATCAAAGGCAGGGTTTGGAAGAGTGGACGCACACCGCATCAACAAACAGCGATGCTCTCCCAGCATGGCCAGCGTTTGACACCGCCACCTCTGACTATGAAACTCGGACCCTGAAGGCAAACTGGTGAAACAGTGGGAGGCAAAACACTCAGGAAGCTGCTTCCTTCCTGCCTAGCCCATCATTGACCAAGAGGCTCCAGACAGCTTTTTATTTGCTCAAACTGAGAAAAGCAAGGAACCAAAACAGTAAATACTGCTCAAAGAAACTCTTTCAGAGGATTAACAGAAGAAAAATGACAGGGAACTATGATCAACCGACAAGGGTTTTTCATCATGTCATTAACTCAAAAGGATGGCATCCTGTCATCTACCAATTGGGTGTGAATACTGCTTCATCATACGTAAAACACTGAGCCACACCTCCAGGAGCCCCTCCTCATCTTTCCTTCACAAACGCTCTCTAGGATTTTCTTTTTATGGCTCATCTTGTAATTGAACTATTGCCAGATAACCTAATTTGTTATGAGATGCTCCATAATCATCTCCAGTCGTTTGGTGCCCTGGTCTCAATTAGTCTGAAACTTGCTCCGGGATTCATATTCAGAATTCCTGATACAGACTACGTACCGTTCCCACCAGAGGGTATATGAAGCCAGCCCCGATGCTGGCGCGAACATCTCTAATTGGCAGAACAAATCCAGTGGGGGCTCCTTTCTTCTCAGGCATGTGCGACAGCGACAGGTGTGTCTTGGCCATGCAGATGGGCAGTGAGCCATAGCCCTGGTTATGAAGCATAAAAGAACAGATGATAAGAGCGGGTGAGGAGACAGAGGGAAGAGAAAGGAGGTGGAATACAGGACTCGGTTATCAGAGCAGCAGATGTGAGCTCACCTGTTGATTGTAGTAATCAGTTTTACTCTTGGCCTCTGGAGACAGCTCAATGTCATCAGCGCCATACACTTTCTGGGCTATTGTTCTGATCTTCTCTTCTATCGGCATCTGTGGGAAAGACGGTGCATCAGCAACAGGTGGATACACAGCGACAATAAAGTCAGAAAAAAGGGGGGAAGTGTGATTCAGTGAACCAAGGACACATCGGTGTAAAATTTTGGACGAGCTGAAGAGACTAATTCCACATTTGACTCTCAGCCTGTAACTTCTTTATTACAGGTAATAAAATATCATATTTGTTGAGCCTGTCACCACAAATCATTCATGCAGCATAACATTATGAACAAAAAGAACACTGGCCATTATAAACAAACAGCTGTAACCCATGTCCTGTGTGGCATGTCATCTCAAACTCTGGCATGAAAATATTGGATAATAATGCCCCAACTTTGGATAACAGAGCACTCATGTAGCATGACATCTCTAAGGAGAGAGAAGTAATGCGATAATTTCTTGGTCTGACACTAGGGTTCTCACAGAAAAAGACAATTCTTTAGAAATGAGTCTGCTCCAACAAAGCCTGCTGTGCTGAGGTCAGATCAATCAACACTGCAGACTGACCTCCATCGACATCTCATCACAAAGATGGCAAAGAATGAGTTTAGGAAGCCAAGTAAATCAGCCCGTTTCTCTTGGACTGAAATCTGGAGCTATTGAATTAGTTCTTATTGTTGGACTCTTGGTATGCAAGCACATGCATACAGTAAATAGGACAACACACAAACAAACAGTGTAACAGGAAAAGTTAATTTAAGTCACAACTACCTAATCTCACTAACTCGAACCAGCTGATGTTTTTAACTTCAACACACTTTAGTACAAAAAGTCAATGTTATTTACTGCAAAAAACAAAGTACCCATGCTGGAAAAAAGGGGGAACTGACTTAAACACACACACACACATAAAAGGTTTGTATTTTTTTCAATGCCTTATCAGTTATTATTTATCAGCGGTTACAACACAGAGAAATGCTGGTTTATCGAATCTGCACCCACCTCTAGGTTGTACAGGAACTGGAAGTTTGTGGGCTTCTGGGCCGCCTCATTCACGGCCTGAGCCAGCTCTAAACAACCTCGCCCACCCTGAGACCAGTGTTGGCACAACACAGCGTCAGACGCCCCACACTCCTTCGCTATCTGGCACACCAGGTCAGTCTCTGCCTTTGTGTCTGTCCTGCAGGGACCACAAAAGGAAAGATTCTTATAAGTGTTCGGCAGCAAGCTCGACAAGCTGATCGATTTTTGGGGGAAATTTGGCGGCCAAATGTGGAGCTTCATAAACGTTTACAGGAGTCTTACTTGAATGCATTTAGGGCGACGACTACTGGTACGCCGAACAGTTGTGCTATCTGGATCTGCTTCCTGAGGTTGCTATGGCAACCACCTGCAACCAGGTTCAGATTCTTAAAGAGAGACATAAATAACACAATGGTTAGAAAAATAATATAGCAACTCGGTGGAAACATGACTTAACTTGTTCCCTGCTGGGATATTAGGTTTGTCCACAAGCTTTTCTTCTTCTTCCTCTTACATGTGTTTCAATTAGTTACATGGAAAATGAACAATAGAAATGTAATGCTTTTGACTACAAATGTTTTTTTCATTCTGTTCTGTTATCATTTCTTTCAATGTTGCATGAGTGCACGAGTAAACTATTATTTAATTAGACTGTTAATTGGACTGTTCTTCATGTCCTGCTAATTCATTGTCTGTATGTGTGTGGCCACACACTGAGACAAAAGCAAGTTGCATAAATGAATTTCCCTGGCTATGATTTCTGTAGTTCTTCTGGCTATTTGAAAAAGGCTTTTTGAGTGCCTTTTAACCTCTAGTGCTCCATTATTTACTCAGCTGAAGCTGCCTCAGAGGTCCAGGGATTCTGGCCAGGTACGGATCAACTCCTGCTCACTCCGAACACATAAACAGAATCCAAGCTCTACTCGGCCAAGTCTCACAAGCCACATACAAATGTTCCATTTAAGCTGTTAATCAAATAACTATGTTCATGGATAAAGAGTTTATGTATAGTGGTAGAGCCTTGACTTTAGTATAGATTAGAGTAGGAAGCCTGGGCTGATTGCTTTAGTACAATCTGAAACGTCTTTATTGCATCACACAAATCTCTTTAAATAGTGTCAAATGATAGCTTCTTTCCGAAGCTTTTCTTGGCTTGTGACACACAAAGTCCTCCTTCACTGGAAGGCTTGGGTAGAAAGACACATTGAGAGCAGCACACAGCCACCTCAAGACGGTGGGCTATCCCTCACCTTAGTCTGCCATGGTAGCAGGGGGGGATAAAAAAACAAAAAACTACTAACACCACACAGACACACCAACAGATAATGTTAACTGTGCTTAAATTGCTTTAATTCTGCTGATTATGTCCTGTTCTTTTCATTTAATGCAATTAAAACACCCAAGGCCAATTACTCTAATTTAATTGAAAGAAATGTTCCAACTAACCAACTTCTGAGCTTGGACAAGCTTACTTATCTCATAGTCATTTAGTTCTTAAGGGGTTAATTTCTTTTGTGTGTTCGTACATGTTTGTAACCTTTATATTAATGATTGGTAATGAGCACCAACATGATTCATACCTCGTTAATGTACTCTCTGGGCAGAGGTGTACCTGCTGATACCTACAAGCACACAAACAAAACAAATAATCACAAGCTTTATCGACATATGGCATTTAGCATCCTGTGTCTTACAAGAGCAAACTTCTGTCGTGAGCTAAAACAATTCAAGATGTTAATCATACAGGCTCAGCTTACATTTGGCCCGCCACCGTGCATCTTCAGAGCTCGAACAGTCACCACCAGCACCACCACATTGGGTCTCAAGCCTGAAGCTCGACATTTGATGTTGAAGAATTTCTCCATCCCAATGTCTGCACCAAAACCTGCCTCAGTCACTGAAAGAAAAAAAAAAAGCAAGGTTTAACATAGATGGCACAAACAGGAGCTTAAACATGATTTCCTAGACGTAATAAACATTTAACCCAGAAAGTGGGAACCACGCAAACACAGTGTTCTGTTCTACTTGGATTTCATCATCCCTGAAACTAAATATTCTGACAGAGCTGATATGCCAATGAGCCTGTGATCTGTGTACCCCCCCCAACGTGCTTTAAGTCTTAAATACCATGTCTGAAAAAACTTTGCCTCATTAAAAAAAATGGAAATAAATAAATTCATGAGCTCCCTCAGATCTTTTAAAGAGCCATGGGAATAGGAGATGACGCTTTCTATCTGACCAGCAACATTGTACTGAGTAACATTGAACTGAGTAATGAGTACAATGAAAGGGCCCCTTAAACAGACAGAGGGCCTCTGAAGGGAACAGCCCATGTCCAGGCCTCTTGAACAGGATCCAAACAAAGCAAAGAGTCCACCTGGAATGACAGCGTTGTTAAGATAAGGTTTCCTGTTACTTGCTCTGAGATTGTATGTGTGTGTGCGTGTTTAGGACTGTAAACATCTGTTCTCAAAAAAATGAACAGCTTACACATAGTATTGATGATTTAGCTTGAGCAGAATAGAATACTGTCACTACAACCCAGGAAAGCAAAAGCTGATCTCTTAAAAAAGCTGACCTTCAACATCTATTTCTGTGTCAAATCTCAATTTTAATTTTTGAATAATAATTGAAATTATAAACACGGACTTTGTTTTCGTTGTGGTTTGCATGAGCTGAATCTGGAACAAATCTGTACTAATGTTTCCAATTATTTAAATTAAGATTCAAAATCGAATCAGTAAGTAAAACGACCATGCAAGAGAATCACTATACAAAAGCGAAGAGTATGCCTTAAGGGTCCATGTCTATGCAAGCTTACCTAGAAAACTAAATGATGAATACAGAAATAAAGATATCCATCTTAAACATGAGTGACGTCCTCTCTAAACTAATCATTTTGAAGGCGGTTCTTAACAGGTGTTTTTACTTAGATTGGATTCCCATCGTTAGTCCCTCATTTAAAATGCTGTCTGACCACTGGGTATTTTTCTTGTGACAGGTCAGGGCCCCTCTGCCGACCGTGGATCCCTTTGCAGTTTCATGATAAGATGACTGCCAGGTGTTTTGTAAATCTAAAAAACTTTTCTTTCTGCAACAACTGTTACATTAGATTTCTCGAGGAAAGGGTCAGTGCCAGTGGGTCCGTTCTTCATCTGCATGAGGCAGGCTCCACTAATCTGCTTGACACAATATGACAACCTGCATCTATCTAAAGGAAACTTTCCATATACACAAAATACATCTGCAAGGTTCAGCAACATGCACACATCAGCATATTTGGCAGGCATGCCGAACTCTACACACAACTAAAAAATCATCAGTTCAGTGTTACATGTTACTGTAAAGTGACCAATCCCTTAGATATTTTATTTAAAAACAAAAAGGTAGGAAATAAAACAACTTTTTTCTTGAAAGATTGCTCCTTCGAATAATTGTGCTAAGATGCAGCACAGAGAACGAGGATTGAAAGCATTGACTTGTTTTGTCCAAACATTTTACATCAGATATCTTTGGCAACAAAACAGTAATTGACTGGAATGTGAAGAGCTGATGTTCTCCACATGATGACGCTTATCACTGTGCCCTATGTAAGGAAACTACTGTTTCTTGTTTGTTTCTGTGCATTAAGAGAGAAAGAATATTTTAATCAGAAACATGAGTAAAATCTGTTTCTTTTATGGGGGGGGGGAGATCATGAATGAAAAGGACAAAAATGTATGATGACTTAGGACCTATATGAACCGTCTGAGATTACTCGGCATAATAAATGTCTGGGATATTTGTCTCTTTCTATTGCATCTTAAAAAGTGTTGTTTTTTTTTCTGCAAGAGCAGCAAAATGAAAGCTGAGGAATGTAACCTGACTCATTTAGACAGATGCCAACAGGGCACAGTGTTTGTTATTAGAACCACATTACAACTTTGGCTCTGTATGCTGACAGAGCCTGCCAATACAGCCTATGCTAAGGTATGAGTTTGTAAAATGTTTCCAAATTTTTTGTGACCTCCCACAAAGGACAGCCCAGGAGAATTCATACCAAACACGTTCAGCAATGCATTTTCAGAGCGGGGTAGACAGAATTAAGAAAAGAGAGTGAGCATGCAACAAAAGCAGATTCAACAAGCGTCCCACTACGGCTTTACAAAGGAAGATTAAGAGCCCAGAGGATGTCATAAGGAAATACTTGCAAATTTCCTGTTCTGTATGAAAACTGAACAGTGCAGAGAGCCAGTTGGGAAGAGGGGGTCAGCACTGTGGTGAAAAGGGTTGGGGAAGAGGTGAATAGTTATAGTGACAGTAAGGTCTTGGTCCCACCACCCCTGCCAATATCAACAGTGACAACAACACTGCAAAGCTGGGAACTTCAACAAGACTGCCTATGTTCTGTTTGAGTGTTCCACAATAAGCTATGCTGTATCTCACAAAGAGGCAGTTTGAAATGATGTAATAAGTAGATTTATGCTCTCATCTTTGGAAGACGACAGAAGATGAGGGGTTTAATCTATTCCATCTACTTTACGTGTCCTCAGATAACATTTGTCAGGTCAGAAAAATCATTAGATCCTCTGGAAAGGGAGCTGTAGTCCTGATGCAATACAACAGGCCCAAACTATGATAATACAGCACTGTGTTTCAAAATTAACTTTCTCCAAGCTTCCTTCTGATTGAAAACAAACCATTTTCCTGCAGCTCTCTGGTTCATCCATGTTAACTTTAGATGGGAAACTGCAGAAGATGAGAAGTGGCTTTCCTTTTTTGCAAAAAAACATTAAGCTTTCTCCTGATGGAATACTTAGGGACACTAATCTGACTGCCTTTTAGTTGCCTTGAAATGACTCGGAGTTCCTTTGTGAACTTGTAGACAATTGCTTTTTTGTTCTTGGGGTGGACTCTGCTCGTCAAACACTCCCCCAGAGAGTAACAATTGTCTTCAAATTCTCTCAAATTTGATTGGTACGGTTCAAACTCTTTAGGGTTTTTTGGGCATTTTTCAGCCTGATGACATCAATGCCTTTTTTTCCACAGATGTCCTCCGCATCATGAATATATGCAGTCTGGTTAACACTTCATGTCACATTTCCAAAAGCACTACTTTTATCAATCAGTTCATGTTATGTTTGCTTTATATATTGTGTTTCTAGATTAAAAACTAAATATACACTAAAGTATAATATTTGTGTCCCAGTGGATTCAGTTTTGTCAACTATTGTGTGACCATCTGATTATGTCTTATGTATGCAGAAATATCAAGAATTCAAAAGGAATAATAAACATTCAAGTACCATTAAAATGCAAACATATCACTATGTTTTTTATGGTTAGACAAATTCTTAAAATGTTTGTGTAAATATATTTTAATCCTTTCTATGTTCACAAAAACTTAGCTTGATTCATAATGTCATCAGTGTCATGAATAATGAGAACAGAGTGACAGAGACTTCTACGCTGAATACTGTGACTTTTCCCTGAACCCTTTTCCTGCTGTGTTTAATTATTCGTCAGGTAAATGAAGCCTGAAGCAGTTTTGTACCCAGAGAAAAGAGTGGAGTAAAAGAAAGATAGAGCAAGAGGGGGGGTACATTCATCCCAGCTGCCGGGGAAAGAAAAACTGAGGGAGGTTAAGTTCCTGGAATAGCTTAGGGTCAGGTAACAACACATAGCCAGGGAAGGGGAAGAGACAAGACAGACATATGGCAAAAAAGTGGGTGGAGAGATGTGGAGGTATCACCACAAACCTTCAAGCTTCTCTGCTGCATCTTGTGAAATTCAACTCTCTGCCCACACTAGCTCATTTGTAGCTTGACAGCTAGGGTTAATGCTGTTTAAGGTGAAAGAGTTAAGCCTTTCTGATTTATAAAAATACATTACCATGTAATCCATAAACTGATTTGTATCCTTTCATCTTTGGACTTGAAAATGAGCAGGGCATCAATTTCAGTTGTCTTAAATAGCCTTAAGTAAGATGTTTGTGTGGTCGCAGAAGCGGCCAGTTATTTCTGACACTTTGCACTTCGTCATATTTAACGTAAAGTACCGTAGATAGTTTCTGATGATATTTAGACAGAAAACACTTGGCGCCCCTCACACTGACAGAAGTCTTAAGGAAAATTAGCATTTGTATCCAATACACCTGGAAAACGCCACAGATGCACACATTCCAAACATATTTCTGCAGTCAGAGTAAATGAAGACAGAGGGAACAGCAGGACAGATAGAGACAGATAAAAATTCAAATACTCAAGTATGCTTTGATGTTGAAGGGATTAGTGTGGTTTACTCTAAAACATTCCAGGGACTCTTAAGATTATCAACTTGCTTCCTTCCTCTTTGCAGTTTTTTCTTCTCCACAATCTTTTGACTAGTTTCTTAAGCCCCTTTCAGAAACTCTGTGCTTTTCATTAAACTACTGGCAGTGTGTCTGTGTCATGTGTCATTTTCCCGTAGAAATTTCTCTAACACTAATGTGAGGAGCAGCAACAGCCGGCAGTGGGCTGATCTTTGCTTTTGATCTGCGATTCTGACAGATAGCGTGATTGGATAAATAACAAAGGTACCTACAAATGTATCAGTAATACTTAGCTCCTGCACATGGTTGTTTTTGCTTCAAATAATCAGAGCCAAACAAACAAAAGAAAATTGTTAGTGTTTGACCCAAAGCTGACCATCTGCTTCCTGTCAGATTGCAGTGCAAGTTTTCAACTGCTCCCGTACAAACAATTTCTATGGATATGAAATGACAGAAATAAGTCTTTCAAAGCTGCGTGTGGGGGTGTGGGTGGCAAACACAAAAATCCTAAGGTAAAAATCCCAATGTTTTCCACTTGATAACAGCAATTCCATTACTGCAGTGCAACACAACACCCAGGAGTGGAACAGTGACTGTTGGGAAGGTGATATTGAGAAAAGGGATATTTTCAGTTGCTTCAAACTAATACTAGCCACGTATCCATATGAGGATGATTTTCAAATCATAGCTCTTGTCAGAAATCTTGTGGGTTTTCTGACTGACGGGTTAACAGAGAAGTGAATGGGGTCGTATTGTCTACAGGCCTTTGCTTTATCTGACTGATGAAGCTACTTATGTTATATATTTCATGTTTGAAAAAAGAATTTTAGAAAGGCATAACTGAGCAGAACAGCAGCGCCGGACGCTACTCCACCAGAGTACTACAGTGGACCAGAGCCAGAACTGTAATGGATGTCGGCCAAAGGTTCCAAAAGCAAGGGAGTATCATTGTTGGGTTCATCACTGGGGTAAAATGTAGATTATCTAGCCTGTTAAGGTTTTAAATAAGACTCTACAGCTGAGATATGGGTGCATTCGCCCCTAAAGGTTTGTGGCTGTACGACCTGTAAGTAAGGACTGAGTGATCTTACCCACAAAGCCATCCCGTCCAACCAACTTCAAAGCTAGCTTGTCTGCCAGCACAGAGGAGTTGCCATGGGCGATGTTGGCAAAGGGCCCAGCATGGACAAACACTGGCGTACCCTACATTAATTAGAGAGACACATAAACATACAAAGGGAGCTTAGAAAAACAATGTAAACCACAGCAATCCTCCAACCAAATTGAAATACTAACTAAATGCTTCTTTCTTTGTAAATTCAACAACTTTCAGTTAAGCTTTGAGATACAGACTGAAATGTGGATGTACTTTGGCTGGCTTTGTGTTTGTGTGAACACAACTTGGAGTCACTTGAGTGGCATGTCAGCCTGACCGTGGGCGAGGCTCTCCTGTTAATGCAGATTACTTACTAAATATGGGAAAAATACACAATCTACACAATTATTGAACTCATGGAAGTTGTGTGTTATTGTTTTTTTAACACATCTACATATAGTTCAATAGGCTGCTGTTAGTGTATTATATCTTGGTTTGTAGAACACCAATTCCATTTTCTTTTCCTGAACGTAAATATGTGGTTAATGGTTGAAAGTAACTAAGAATTATCAAAAACAATGATCTTACTAATATATTAGAGTAAAACTCATACAATACAGACAGGTTAGCTAAAACCAAGAAGAAATCCTCCTGTGATCATTCGCACTTTAAAAAGATTTACTCAGAAAACTCCTGTAAAAAAAAAAAAAAGGGGGGGGGGGGCTTGACCCCATTGTTACACCAAATGTGTATTCCTTGAGAGAGAGGAAAAAGGAAGGATGGGATGGCCTAGCATGATTTTCTGGGCTTTTGTTTGCATACCTCTCTGCCAGACTGCATAAACAGTCTCCCCTCAGAGGAGTAAATCATCTTTCAAACAAGCCTCTGGGAAAGCTGCCACTTTTTTTTTTCGTCTTTCAAACTCTCAGTACAGGTCACGTCAATGTAAGATTAAAATAATGGGGAAAGTTGTAAAGGAGGTAAAGAGAATAAAACTTCTGTGGAGTTTGACGGAAACAAATGCATCAAATATCTGCTTTGAGCAGATATCTATCCGATGACCTGCTATCTTTTAGTCACTTCGATGGAAAGACCGTGCACGTCAAACAATGTTTGGATTTCCATCTGTTTCCATCCCCCAAACTTCAAACTTGGCCCAGCACACCGTTTTCACGCTTCCCATCTCCACATGTGGAAACACTGTTCATGGGATGCATCGACAACAGGGTGACAGGAGTGGAAATCACTGAAAAGACTTGTATGTCACATCTCTCAGCATTACTTTACAAGCAGTACAAGGTTTAGAACTTGAAGATTTACTTTTAAGCTATTGTCTGCTTCCTCCTCCCAGGAAAAACTCTCTGTAAAAGCGGATGTTTGAAAAATTCACAGAAAGCCTGAAGCCTGTTGAGTTGACGCGTATGCATGGAGTGCATAGAAAAAATAGGTGGTATCTCTTTCAAACTCTGTCCCATCTGAAACAACAGAAGGGCAACAGGAACACGCTCATCTCATGTGCCAGCTTATGTTATCATGAGTGCGTCTGAATACACGACAATCACATGCAAAGGGCGCACAAAGGGCAGAGCGGGTTGAGCTTGATGGAAAATTCTCATGGAGCTCTGAGGTCCCGCTGGTCACGATACCAGCTTGCTGACCAGAATCACAGGAAACCCACACAGGAAACAGTTTCACACAACAGGACCGCAATGCTTCCTCCAAAAAAGAAAAAAAAGTAACCAAATTTCTGCTGCATACAACCTCCCAAAACTCAAAATACACAGAGTATACAACACCCCAGTTTATTTTCTCCACAGCAGAGATGAAATCAAGCTTTCTGTTTAAAAAATAATAAAGAAACCAGAAGAAAAGCAGTATACAGCAAAGGGTTATAAGATGCTTGACTGTCAACACTGTGCTTCCACAAAATCGGTCCAACAAAAATAAAAAACAGTCTGTGCAGGACCATAGTATCAGGCTCCACGTGAACACAGCAAACAAATGCTTGTGTCAGAAGACAAACACCTTCAGAGAGTTCAAACCTCTGATGATACATAAAGATAAAATCACCTTTAAGATCATCTCCTGGGTTATTTTATTCAACTGTCACTTCACTTTCTGATCGTGAACCCTGATAACATGTTGGCATGCAGCTCTGGTTGCAAATTGCCATGAGGGGTAACTAATAAATGTGTTCTATGACAGAGAATTTTCTATTTTTAATAATTAATATAAAGAAACAAAAAACATGTTTCAAACAAGCCCTCAATTGGAAGACGGTGAGCTTTTGTATATCGATGAATAGTACATTTGATTTCATCTGGACTGAATACAGTCTGCCACATGTTTATTCATCTAATGGAGCAAGTGCTGACCTATTGAATGACTTGATGCTCTAAAAGAATTGATAAAAGTGAGCAGCTCCTCTATCTTGGGACTTCATAAAAACCTCTGGGCAGTGTTTAACTTCCATTAAGGATAAAGAGCAAAAGAAAATCTATATGTCATCTTTATGTAAGGACTGTTTAAGTAAAGTTATGCGTGTCTCACCTCAAGCGTCTGCATCAGTGTGGGCTTTATGGCATCTTTCATTAACACAGCCAGTGCACCACTCACACCCTGAGAGAAAGGAGGGAAAAAAAGGTGAGAATCTTATTGGAAAGGTTTCTTTTAAGATGGTTGTTTAAGGTTGAAGTGGACAGTAAAATTTAAAATATACAAAGGCTGCCGTAAGAGAGAGAGAGACATTTCACTACTGTTGGAGAAGGTATTCCTACAAATTCCTTCTATCAAAAATCAGAAATGCTGCCGGCACCTTCGGTTTTGCTTATCGGCCAATTAGCTCAGCAGGAGACAAAAATAATATTTCAGCCATGATCTCCCTTCATTTCTGTTTTTTTAACCAAATTGCATACCTTTTCAGAGCTTAACATAACCAACTGTTCAATTGAAATAACGCTCATTGGAAATAATTTTGCTCTGGAATTCTGTTTTGGTAACATATCTGTGGCTGAAATACACCCTCTAATCGAATAAAAAGGACCCCATGGTAACACACACCAGGTCCTCTGCTGTGACAGGTTGTCCAGAGCGGCTGGTTCCCACCACCATGCGTGCCAATCTGTTTTTCATGTCCTCCAGACTGTCTGCTAGGGCCAGAATGGCCATGATCTCACTGGCCACTGCGATATCAAATCCAGTCTAAGATGAGGATACAAACAAAAACACACACAAAAAAAAAAAAGTGAAAATTTGTTATAGTATAAATCGCGAAGACATCATTATGCAAAAATGGTCTACAGAGACATTACCATCATTTGAAAGGTTTAAAAGAAACAAGTTACATTCCAGATATACATTATGGATAATAGTGTTATAAAGACAATTCTGTGTGAGAAATGCAGGGAATCAGACAGCAGCAGTCCAGTTTATTATGTGCATAAACCAAATAGGATTCTTATGAATGAATTTGCCCTGGTTTAAGAGATGATGCCCTGATGGAGGAAAAAAAATCTTAATTACAAACACACTGAACTCATTTTGCTGTTACATATTTCTTTCCACTGATTTATGAGAAACGAAGGGTAAAACACACTAAGGGAGTGTGATGAGAGCTATTTGAACAGGGGAAGCAAGGAAGAGGGGAAGTCTAAAGAAACTCTACTCCAGGTCTCTCACACGGAAAAAAATGTAACATAACTTAAACCACACTAATCCACTATGGACTTTAGGATTTCTATTCCCACTCCCAGTGATAATACCCTGAGGGATTATAAGGTATCCAGCTCTGGTGGGAGGTGGAGGGCAGAGGAATGAAAGGGAAACAGAATGGTTGGCCGTAAATATAAGCATATGCAGAAGAAGCTTAGGGGCTATTCCAGGTATGTGTATGTGTGTGTGGAGCTGGAGGGTCATTTTCAATCTTGTCTAAATATTTGCTTTCACTTAGGGCTGCTCGCTTCCCACTGACCTGAAGTGTTTACTTAACAAATTTCTTTTAGCTGTAATTACTATAGATGTATGGCTAAAATAAAACTGAGAGGAATCACAGACAGATGAGGATAAAGTGTAATTGTGCATACAGGGGAAACATTTGGGGAATTTGTGAATGAAACTCTCTTAGAATTTTGCATTGGAAAGTTCACTGATGTACTGAAAAAAAAAAAAGGAAGAACTGGATTTCATCCTGGTGTGAGGATGAACAAAACCTAACAGATAACAGATACAGTGTGGAAAGAATGCACATACCTCTCTGATGTGTCCTTTTTCAGTGCTTGCCTGTCCTATTGTGACCTTCCTTAAGAAACGATCATTTGTGTCAAGAACTGAAAAACAAAAGACAGAGAGACCACAAATTATAGTAAAAGTTGTTGTGAGTGAAGCTTGAGTGAATTAAGATAAATTACATTTGATTTGATTCCTCATCCACACAATTATGTCTTCACAACCAGAGGCAGAGGCAGCATGAATGCACAACTACATCTGATAAATCTCCTCACCCATCACTTAAACTAATCTTTACTTTTGTTAAAAGAGACTGCTTATCAGTATAACACCGTTTTCAAACAGCTGGGAACCATTTAGCTCAAACAGCATCCACAGGGTCAGAGAATACGGGTGAAATCCCACACACATAAGAAAATCTGGGTTTAATCTGCAGGGTCTTTCTCCTAGGGTGCCCTTCGGAGGTGGTAAATACCACAGCTGGTTGTTCTCACTGACTCTAAACCAATGTGGCTGCCACTGCTGAAGCAGTTTAACTGCAATCACACCCACCCACCGTTATTGTCCTGTGACTGATGACTTTTGAATACTTGGAGCATTAATCTTACATGAACTACTTTTAGAGTCAGCACTATAAAAAGGAAAATAAATTCTTCAAAGCTGCATGTGACATTCATCAGGAAAAGGACCAAAGGAAACAGACTTTTAAAAGGCACGGGATGTTTGTTTTTTTATTATAAAATATCACTGATGTAAATTAGATTTGAGTAAGAGTCATGATGCTGCTTGTGACTAAGAATGACTCCCAGGTCAGGTCAGCTTGTCTTTTCTCCTATTGTCTGGCTGCCCGAGGTGATGCCAGGTGATCCCCACCTGACTCTGTCTGTCTGAGAAATGTCTCAACAATCCTCGCTTTCCTCAAGAAGTTAAGCCCAGAGCAGTTTCACATGGAAAACATATCCAAGGCACTTCTATCCTTATAATTAATTTGATGTGGTGTCTGGCCAAGTATCTCATTATACAGTGAATTACCATAATCTTTTTATCACAAACATCCGCAGTTAGTCATATTTGATTATTTCTCAACTGTGTGCCTGTTGCCACCTTTAACATATGATTAGACCACTTTGCTACACAAAAATGTATAACTTAATGCTTTAAATTGGTACAGGAGTGCTCATTTAATCATTAAGGGAAAGTAAGTCATTGTCCTGTTTTACTTTGAGTAGTGAGAAACAGCAGTTAAAAAAATAGAATTTCCTCTTTGTATGTAGTTGGAGGGAAAAGAAAAAAAAAAATCACATGACCATAAAACAACATCAAACTTAGATACCTCTCTGCCAGGTGACTTTGGAGGGGTCAATATCAAGACGTACGAAGGTGCTGACGTCTTGTAGTGTGAGAGATGCAGGGTCTGTTTTATTGATGCCAAGACGCTAGAAATGAAAATATGATTCAGACCACAACATCCTGTGCAAATCTATTTGAGAAAGGGATACGATTTTTAGATTCCGCTGCTCATAAATATATCTCATATAGACAAATTTGATATTTTTCTTATTTAATCTTACAATAAGATCACCTAATATAATTATTTTTGCGTAAATACCGGCTGGAAAATGTCTTCCAACCATGAAACACAAGTACAGATTAAATATCTGTAAGAATCTGGCCAGGGCTCTGCTAAAGAAATAACACCCCATCCATAAAGACAAATATGTCATGGTGTTTTTAACTTCTCATCCAAAAACTTTCATTTTAGAAACACTGAAGTGACTTGAGGTCAAACCCCCACCATTACACTCCTTTCCAAAGCTATTTGTTACATCTACAAAGGAAGTTATGAACAGATATTACATATAAACAAATATCTGAAAATGAGGCCATAGTGAAGGATGAGTGAAAATTTGAGACAAACTGGGGCCCCCTAATGGACAAAAGTAACCATCTTTACAAGCACTTGACAGCCCCATGAATAACTGTGCTGACAACGATAATTGTGGCACTGCTCCATTTAGACTTACACGTAGCCTGGAGATCTGAATGGGTGAAAATCGTCTGAATCCATTCACTGAAGGGACCAGTCTATTGAACAGGGCCTTGATGGTATCAGAGAAAACAATTGTTTTGTTATTTTATCTAGATACGACAGAGTATTTTCATTGTTTTACACAGTGCATGTTTTCCTTCTGGAGCTACTGAGCAGCCTGCACGCGGGTCAAACGTGAAGCTAGCTGTCAGGATGAGTTGCTGCTGTCTCACCTTGTCTGACTGTGTGGCCTCATGGAGCATCCTGGCATCGATGGCTGCGGCCACCAGGTTATTGGCTGCTGTGATGGCATGAATGTCTCCAGTCAAGTGGAGATTGAACTGAAGCCGAGATTGATCAATAGAAAAGGAGAAAAATAAAGATGTGAAGGGATGGCATTAATATATCACTACTGTGCATTTGGCTAGAATAGATATGGTACCTATAATAATGAAGGTTACAATTTTTTCCAAAATTCTTTCATAACTGTAAATTAAATTTAGTCAGTTTAAACAAAACTGACAGAAATAAAAAAGTCAACAAAACAGGACTTCTTTTTTTAAACAATGTAAAGAAATCAGGCTCTACAAAGAGAATGAGAGAAGGACGCAGTTTCACTGTAAACCGAGTGTCTGGAGATTTGTAACTCATACCCCTGCCTCTACACTTTTTCTGCATTTTTATGGACAGGGCCTGGAGTCACAGCTGCTGGGGAGGGAATTGTATGAGTGTGTCTGGTGGAAAAAAACTCCTCAGTCTTTGTCTGGTGTGAGCCTTTGAAGTCTGACTGCATGTCTTACCTCCTCCATTGGGATGACCTGGGCATATCCCCCTCCTGCAGCTCCCCCTAGTCACAAAGCAAAGGAAACACAATAAAGAGGCTGAAAGCAGGGCCTATTAAGGAGCAGTGATGAGTGCTGGACATTAGATTTAACTGCTTCATCCCAGAGGATGCCTCAAATGACAAAGAAAGCTTATGACAGTAATATGACTAATTTCTTACCTCTGGAATGTTAACCAGTCTCTTACCAAAGAAGAGACTGTTTGATAAAAAAATGCATTCCCATAAATCAGATAGCTGGATATCTGTTTTAAAATCAACACATGATAAATGATTATCTTTTAGATAGTTTTCTTACAAAATAGGATTTTACACTGAATGCTTTTTTTTTCTAATCAAATTAGCTTCGGTATGACCATCACTGCAAAATAGGCAAGAAAAAAAAATAGAGATTAAGGGACGTTTTTGCAACAGGACATCCTGTGAATTTATAGAAAAAATGTCTAAGTTTCATTGCTGACCTTTAACACCAAAGGTGGGACCCTGCGAGGGCTGCCGAAGACAGGCGAAGGAGTTGAGCTTTAGGTGGGCTGACATCGCCTGGACAAGGCCGATGGTCACTGTGCTTTTACCCTCACCCAGTGGAGTAGGAGTTATGCTAGATATACAATAAAAACAACGTTTGAGTATTTCAATTCTGTTAGTACCGCATTTCATATTACATTAAAATGTCTCAGTCAGACTGGTCTGTGATGGACACTTTCTTGCTGGTGTCCTTAAAAGAGCAAATGACTGTTGCACTTACCCAGCGACTAGCACATATTTGCCATCAGGCTGCGAGCGGAGACGGTCTAACAGGGACAGTCGGACCTTAGCTTTGCTCCTGCCATAGGCTTCAAGCTCCTCTGGAAGTAGTCCAATCTCCTCAGCCAGCTGATCTATAGGTTTGGGTGTCTGAGCTCTGGATATTTCTATGTCACTGAAACATAAGAAAAAACATGACAAATAATTGAAATCCATTACAAAGCCTAACTGAAAGAAGTCTTTAGCAAATAACCTTGTTTGGATAAGGCGACTCATCTATGGTATAAAATGGACCGGCTACGGTAAATCTAATTAATTTCTTTAAACAGTACCTTGGCACAGGGGTCAGGGTCTGCAGTTTGAGGCTGCGCAGCTGCCAGGATCTGTACTGCTGCTCTTTTAGCCACCGGCTGCAGCTGTGCACCACATTCTAATTGACAAAAATATTTCAGCCAGAATACACAGCATTAGGCAAAAGGAAGATGAGATAAAGCGGGACTAGCACAAAGAGAATCACCTGTGCTCTGTAAGCTGCTGTGAGGTATCCTAACCCAGATCTTGTGGACAAACTCATGGAGTGGTCATCTAAATTTAAAAAAAGTCTGATTATCGCTCACATTGAGCAAAGATTTGCTGGTGCACCGCAGCTCCGGCCCAAGCTCTGCATTCGTCTAACCATACCTGGCTGCACTGTGGGCTCACATCGAATGATCGCAGCTCCTGGTCTGACCCAAGTGGGTGGAATATCCATATTTCCGGCACCCAGCAGAACCACAGCATCAGCCTGCATCATCTGGTGAAAAAGAAGCAAGAATGAAACACAAAGTATTGCAAACTTTTTGACTGGGTCTTGTTTTGTAAGAAGACGCCACCTCCTTGTGGTCATTCAATGACACTACATATGCTGTAACTCTAAACACCAACAGGAGGAAAAAGAAAGGAGAGCTGACATGTCATTTAATGCTAAAAAATGAATAAATAAAATTAAACAAACCTGAGTCTGCAGGTTCTTGGAGTCCCAATGACTCCTTAGAACTGCCATCCCACTTCTTTCAATCATGCATTGCATGCCCAAAGCGAGGGGTCCTTCACCTCCAACAAGCAGCACATTTTTCCCCTCCAAAGGAAAATCTGTAAAAACAATTAAGTAATCACTACAGGGTGATTATACCTACCAGCAACAACAGCTCCTCATGCAGCCGCCTTAATACACATCATTCACCTGCTTTCTCTCATTAGTATTAAAAAAATACAATTTATGTAACATTTTTAAATATTTGATTAACCAAAACGACTCAACTCGGCTTGCCTTTGATTTTTCTGACAGTGAAAATCTTAATAAGATCTTAAGTAATTTGTGTCAGTTAAACCATAAAAAATCTGCACTTATGGAAAAAGTGTCTGCTTATCACCGTCTGCTTTAAAGTCCAGAAAACACTGTTGTAGATAATAAAATCATTAGCAAACAGGACTTAGCATGTCACAAAAATACTGATGTCTGAGCTTGTAATGCAAAGCAGAACAATCCTATCAGTCAGACCTTTGCTGTCCACGTGAGAGCCACTGAAAATAACCATTTCAGATTCAAATACTAACATACATGAACATACAATTGGTTTATTATTGTTGTTTATCTTTTTCACAGGGATGCTGTGCTGTGGGAGTTAGTAAGGGCTCACGAGGATTCAAGTTAGTATCTAATTAGGTTAATCCAGTAGTAGCTGCTCAGGATGGCTCAGCAAAACTCTTTTTTTTTTATTAGGACCTTAATCAAAAATGAAGAAAAATCCAGACAAGGTGCATCAAAGCACTGATGCTTTAAAGTTTGGAAATAGCTTGAATGTCCCTCAGTGTAAAGTCACCATTTTTCCTCAGCAGATCCAGAACAGCAGCAGCAACAGGTGGCACAAAACCTCTGCTCAGGTCTCCTCGCACCAGGCGGCCTACATTCAAATCCGATTTGCTACGAGAATATAAAATGGACAGAATTATAACTTATATTTCTTGCAAGTCCAAAACTTACTCTGCTACATGAACAAAGACTATTTTGTGCTCTAGAAAAGTGTCTTAAGCTTAATAATTGTTTGAAAAGAGGCTTTTCTGAGAAAACTGCAGATATATCAACGTCCACCAGTTTTCAGTTCTCGAGTATATGACTCATACATTTAAAACATCTTTTAAAAAATGCACGTCACCTTTACCCTTTTTACAAATGTTCCTGAAATAATTTCTCCTAAACCGCACCAGTTTGCTTCAATTTGTGATGATTGTAAAGGGTGCCTTGCTAATTTTCCAATCCCCTTGCTCACTGAAGACACAAACTCAACATCTGATCTCAATTCTGAGCAGCCCTGTTTGATTAGGGTCAAATTTGACTTACCATGTGAATGAATGCATGTACTTATGTTAAGAAAGAATATCATTCTTAAGCGATGCCATTTGCCTTCCTGGTGGCTACCTAAATATGTATATAAGAATATTTCTTCACACCGTTTAAGTTTTAAAAAAGGACAGTTAAGTTACATTTATTGCCACATATCATTAAGAGAATAACACGTTCGCTCCATTTGGTCTTTTGATGTTTAAGTGTAGACTTCAGGCAGCATTATACTGACTGAATGTCTGACTCAGCTGAAATTTACCCATCAACATCCTTCTCAGGTTTAAGCGTGTTGAGGACTCGACTTGTGAGGGCAGCCGGGGGGAGGTGGAGGTACACTCCATGCACCCTGGGGTCATCGTTCAGCTTCAACAGCTCCTCTACAATCTACATACACACAGAAGGAGGCAGGGGAACATGGCAGGGACGTGTGAAACTCAGGCAGCAGGGTTCCTCTAGGGTCAGGAATTGTGACATAAATCATCCACCGTCAGTCCAAATGGCTGAACTGTTCCCAAAATTTCCTTTTTTGCGAATGTTCAAAACCTCCAGCTGAGCTGGTGGTTTCGAACGTTAGAAGGTGATCAAAAGAGAAAAAGAGATACTCTGTCACTGATTAAATAAAGATACCATAGTGGTAAAAGGCTAACACACTATCAAGCTGCAGATCAAAACTTTAAAGGAAACTAAATCCTACAGATGACATTATTACATGCTAGTTAGACAAACAGGAGAAGAGTAAATCATGTAGAGACTTGCTAAAGGGAAACTTATGAGTCAGCCTCACTTACTTCATCTTCACTGCACCCTTTCGCAAGACAAATCTGAGTGACGTTCAAGCCAGCCTGCGGACATACAGCCAGGAAGAGACGAACCTTTTGCTGTTAGGTGTTCATTTAGTGCATTATGCTTAAGACCAAAATTCATTTGAAGGACAATTACCTTTCCTACCATCTTTTTATTGATCTCCAGCATGCCGTCATCGTCGCCTGCCTTTGAGATAAAATAGGCTGATTGAGCAAAACATACAGAAACCTGATAGTACAGGAATGTATAGAGGTGTCGGTAAAAACAGATTAACCCTCCCCATGCCCCCCTCAGCGGGGTCAAAGGTAATGTTAGGGCGAAGCAGTCGGCGCTGAGCAAAACTGTCAGTTGGGGTCAGTTGGTCTTTATAGCTCATTTTTACCCTTGGTCTTTAAGACTTTCATGTCATAAATGGATACTTGCACTCGTCCCAACATGGTTTGTTTTACTCTGGGGAGTGTGCATCCAAGACAGTATTTTTCCATACCATACCTGTAGAATGGCTAACAAAGGTTGGACTTCTGGGTTTTGCTTCTGGAGAGTCTCGATGGCCTCTTTGGTTCTCTGAACCACCTCCCTGTGAAGAAAATAAGCCTGTTAGTTTAATCCAGTTACCCAAAAAGGGATAGCCTAAACAAAGGAATGCAAACAATAAATAAATTAACAAAGCCTACTTCTGCTGGAGAAGATTCTGGGACATAAATATCATGAAACATTAACAAACAGGTTTTAAAAAAAAGACCACCTCTCTTCCCAGCTTTTTGTCCATACAGTGGTCCGAACGAAAAACCGACCACTTAACAAGTATTTGCATTTAAACAGTGCTTAATTAATCCTTAACGTTCACGTGCATCTATCTTGAGACACACCACAATAGTGACGTTACATGTGTCTCGGACCGTCAGAGCAGACTTGTCCTGCATTATCCATCAACGTGATTATTATTATTTTATTTTTTTTACACAATGGCACCTAGTCCATGTTGATAACCGCGTGCTTAGCAACATCACAAAGATGTTACATCAGCTGGCTCGAGTCCCTCTGAGTAGAAGGGGGCACGTGCAGCTCTGGCTGCTAGCCAATGGCCACACCGCCGCTATCAGCACTTACAGAAGAATCTTCATTTCAAGCAGAAACAAATAACTAAACGATGTAATACTTTAAGCTTTTAAGTCTGTCCTACCACGCCGAGCTGTCGCTTCCAGACCAAACCTCTTCTGAGGAGCCTTTTCCAGTGTTAGCAGTACATCTTGGTTGGGTTCCGCTGCTTGTTGCAGCGCTTGCCGTCCGGATGATTAACCGGCTGTTGATGACCCCAACAGGAGGACATCCCCGCGACAAAACGCTGAATCTGCTTCCCGGGCGGGCAGCGTACACCCGGAGGCTGCCGCAAGCTCTGTGGACTGTGGCTAACTTCATGACTGTTTCTTTTGGCTAATTTACTTTCCTCTGCTCGCTTCTCGGGCGGTGAGCGGCGATGTTCCTCCTGGAGGAACTGAAAGAAAGTTGGGTTGAATGCTAGATACTGATGGAGGCATGGTAACTTCACGGACAGTAGGAACTTTTGCATACTTATAAACTGTCGTTTTCAAATAGTCCAAAAAGGTGAAAAATCCCGGACGGAGAAGATCCCTGATAAGAAGACACGTGAGAGGGACGCGTGGAAGTCACGTTGTTAGTTTAGAGCCTATCATATGGCAACCCTGCAACAGTGTAATCGATTCTAATTTAATAATGTGCTAATGCATTTCCTCAATTATTGTACAATAACTGGTAAAGTTAAAATGTTTAATATGCCGAAAATAAAACACACGAGATAATTTCAATGTTTCAGCATGTCATTTAAAAATCTGTTATCTTAAATGTTGATTTTGGAAATTCCCAGGGACACTTGAATGTATCAAACACAGGAAGCTAAACATTTTAGCAGGACTTTAAAAAACTGGATTAATGAGGGTTTAAGGGCCAAACTGTGTCTAGTAAAGTGTTTCCCATAGTGATTTAGGGTCATACTAGGGCCCACTGATCGTGATATGCCTCAAAAGATATAATTTTTGAAAATGTTTTATTTTCTGTAACCTTTTACTCATGGATCACATTTGACCAATAGGAATAAGAGATACATGCTTTGCCCATCCTATTGCTTATTTCACATATTTACCTTTTCAGAATAAATCATTCACTAATAGATAGATAGATAGATAGATAGATAGATAGATAGATAGATAGATA